AGGAGCTCCGTGGGGGTTTCGTGCCCATTTGCCACCCGCGACCAGATTGCGCAGCAGGAGCTCCGTGGCGGTTTCGTGTCCATTTGCCACCCGCGACCAGATCCGCGCAGCAGGAGCAGCGTGGCGTTTGTGTCTGGCTGCCCACTTCCCACGCGCGTCTAACTTTCTCCCCAAAGCGCTGCCAAGCTCCGGAGCGGCCTGGGCTTTCGCCAGTTCCGTGTTCCCATCGCTGGCCTGGGGTCTCCAAATATAAATTCACGACCCACAGAGCAGGACTTCTGCTTGGAAGGGCGAGTTATCGGTGGGGCATTCTCACCGGCCGTTGCCCAGAGCCATCCTTGCCAGGCTGGCTGCCCGGCGATGCCGGCAACCGGTTGCCCAGCCCGGTTTTTTGAAACAGGGGCAAGATTTTATAGAAAATTTTGTAGAAAAAGATTTTGTAGAAACAGGGAAATGGGCTCAATTCTGATAGTTGCAAATCCAGCGGAATCCGCTGCCCCGTTTTGGCGGTGAGATCGCGCTTCTCTAACAAGACAAAAACTTTGGAAACTTTTCTGCTTTTCGGTAGAATTGGTGAGCCACAAAAGGCGCTTTCTGGATTCTTATTGGGGGCAAAAAAAAATCACTTTTAGGATCTTAAGATTCAAAAGGATTTCTGCATAATTCACCAGGTGCCTTTTGAATTCCAAACCTGTTCAAGGCGATTCGTTGGAATACACTTCTTTGCAGTGTGCTCAGATGGAGAAATGATTTTTTTAAAGAAAATTCTGATATTTTTATGCTTTTATATAAAATCTACTTTTTCTAGCTCTTTTGTAGAAAGTTTGCAGCTGTTTGTCCATCCGTCCTGCCCCCATTATACACCCAGATTTGTTTACAGGTAGCCAACGTTCATTCAGTGGCCATTCAAAGTTACAACGGCGCTGAAAAAAAGGGACATGATCCGTTTTTTTGACTGGTTACATCAGGGGTGTCCAACCTTGGCAACTTTAAGACTTGTGGACTTCAACTCCCAGAATTCCTCAGC